GGGGGGCCCCCCCCGGGCCGTAGCCGCCGCCCCGGCGCAGGTGAGCGGGGCGCCGAGATCGGGGGTGCGGGCAGACGCGGCCGGGGGCACGCAGGTGCAGAGCGCCGGGGGTGGGGAGGGTCGCTCAGGTGACGCCGAGGCCACGCAGGTGTGGGCGCGCGGGCCCTTGGGATCCCCAGTGCGGGGGTAAGAGAACTTGGCCCGAGGCTTGGCCATAGTCCGCTGGCGTTGTCCCTGTGGACACCGCCATCCACCCGAGTTAAGCCACTATTCTCAGCCGCCGCAGAGCCTCCCGAGACCCCCCAACACTCTTGTCTAGCAACTTGGGGTGCAGGACCCGGAGAGCAGTGGGTGATGGTGGGAGGGCGCAGCGGGACGCGCAGCCTCCTGAGTGCATTCGCGACGTTAGCGCTGCCCTTCGCAGTCCTGCAGAGGGGGACGGTGTTGGGACGAGAGGCCGCCCGGCGCTGGCGAGCGTTCGCTCCCACTCCAGGTGCCCCTGCCGGGTGGGCTCCGCGAAGCCCTGAATCATCCTGCGCAGGAACGGCCTGTCCGCGGAGACGCACATGCTTTTGATGACCACTGCAGAATGTTAAGTGGGTTAAATATTTGTTTGCATAACAAGTATTTCCTTTTCTTAAACCATTGATTTTTCTGGAGGGAGAAGGCTAAAGTCCTTTGTACAGAAAATGGAAAGACATTGGCCTGACAAGTGTAGAGATATGTTTGGAATGTCTAGAATTTTTTAATTAAGAAGGATCCCAGGTGGATTCTGTATGCATTGCATATGCCGCCTCCCTCCCCCCTTTTTTCCAGCGCAGTATTCCTTTTCATGTGCAGTGAAATTGAGGTCAGAAGTCCTGCTTTTTCTCTTTTTTAAAAAGAGAGTCATAAATTTGATCTTGTGTTATATGGTTGGAAACTTTCTCCTGATAATGTTAAAGCTGTTGTGGAAGTCATTGATCTGTATCTTTACTCTGAGAACTGAGAAGTAGTTCTTGAGGCTTTGGTCTGCCCCCCTCCGCACCCCAAATTGGAAGCAAAAGAGCTCCACTGACACCGAAGTTGTTTCATCTCCATGGATATTTCTTCTCGGATTTAAACAGTTCCCAGCTCTCAGAAATTGGAGTTTATTATCTTAAGTATTTAAGTATGGTTATTATCAGAGTTTGTCCTTGAGAAAATGTATTATTAGTGCTTATCTACCTTTTGTTTTTAAATCTCAAGATGTTGTGGTTACTCTAAACAGTCATTCTCTTACAGATAATGATGAGAATGTGTGGTAACAGAGTTTACTGGAAAAGCTGTAAATAACTAAGTTGGTCAGAGGTGAATAATAATGTTCTGAATGGAGAATTGGAAATTTTAAATTGAGCCTTCCTGTGTTCTCCCATTCTGCCTAATGAATTTTAAAACCCTTTTTTCTCCTACATTTTTTATTTTGAAAAATTTCTAACATACAGAAAAGTAGGAAGAACAGGAGATTGAACACCCACATATCCTCCACCTAGATTCAATCACTGGGAACACATTCGTTAAAGGTTTTTTGATCTTCTGCTTACAGCATTGTCATCTATACTTTTTATCTGTGTGTAGGTTTGATTTTTTTTTCCTTTTTAAAGTTGTCATAGGGCATGTGTGCTTGCTAGAGAGAGTCAGAAAGAGGAAAAATGAGAAACCATACCCCCAGGGGGATGGCCACCCTTAGTTTCTTCTCTCCCATTCTCCTGGGATTTTGGGCACACACATGCGCGCGCGCGCACACACACACACACACACACACACACACACATGATTTTCCAGCTGCCAGGTCCAGGACTTGAACCATGGTATGCCTTGTGGAAGTTCAGAGCCTTAACCACTATGCTACTGCTGGCCCCTGTTGTTATTGTTTAAGTAAACTTTATTTTTTGGGTACTCAGCAAATTTGGGGGGAAGATACAGAGAATGCCCCTTTTCCTCACAGCCTGGCCCACAACCAACATCCCCCATCAGAATGGTGCATTTGCTACTGTCCTTGAACCTACATGGACATATCATCACCGAAGTCCATGGTTAGCATTCGGGTTCCCTCTGGATGGCACACAGTCTCAGGGTTTGGACAAGTACGTAATGACTCGTGTGCACAGTTACAGTATCATGCAGAGTACTTACACTGCCCTGACAATCTGCGTGCTCCACCTAGCCATCTCTCCCCGCCCCAACCCTGGTGGCCAATGATCTTTTTACTGTCTCTGTAGCTTCATGTTTTCCAGAATGCCATACAGTTGGAATCACCTAGGATGTAGCCTTTTCAGATTGACTTCTTTCTTCATTTTCATAGTATGAATTTAAGTTTCCTCAGTGTCTTTTCATGGCTTTATAGCTCATCTCCTTTCAGTGCTGAATAATATTCTGCTGTTTGATGTGCTAGGCTTTGTCAGTTCACCTCGTAAGGGATGTCTGGGTCACTTCCAAGTTTTGGCAGTTATGAATAAGGTGGCCTGAACATCCATGCGAGTGTTAGTGTGGACGAGTTTCCACTCACTGGGCTAAATATCAATGGGTGAGGTTGCTGGGTCATATGGTAAGAATATGTTTAGTTTTATAAGAAACCACCGAACTCTTACCAAAGGGCTGTACCAGTGTGCATTCCCATCAGCCGTGAGAGGTCCTGCTGCTCTACATCCTCACGAGCATTTGGTGTCATCGGTGTTCCAGATTTTGGTCATTCAAATAGATTGTGTCGTTGTATCATTGTTGTCTGAATCTGTATTTCCCTGATGACATATGATAGGACTTCTTTAATATTCTCATTGGTTATCTGCATGTTTTCTCTCTTTATAGACAAGGTCTCACTATGTTGCGATCCTTCTGACTGGGATGCTGGGACTACAGGTGCGAGCCACTGAGTCCAGTGTTTAGAGCTGGCCAGGAATCAAACCCCGGCTTCCCATGTTGCCCCAGTCTGCCAGATGGCAGGAAGCGAGTATCTACCAGCACATGTTCCCGCAGCTTGGCCTCTGCATATCTTCTTTGGTGCAGTGTCTGTTCAGGTCTTTGCCCCATTTTCTAATCAGTTTGTTTGTTTTCTCATTGTTGGGTTTTAAGAGTTCTTGTCATATTTTGCATGACAGTCCTTTATCAGATAGGAGTTTCGCAACTACTTTCTCCTTGTCTGTAGCCTGTCTTTGCATTCTCTTGACAGTGTCTTTGCCAGAACAGAAGTTTTTAATTTTAATGAAGTCTGGCTTATAAATTATTTCTCTCAAGGATCATGCCTTTGGTGTTGGCATCTAAAAAGTTACTGCCATCCCCAAGGTCACTAGGTTTTCTTCTGTGTTATCTAGCAGTGGTTTCCCCCCATGCTACTTTATTATTAAGTATCTACAGTTTTTATATTTATGGTTTCATGTATCCAAAGCTTCACTATAGAAAAATAGGCAAAAAATTTTGTTAACTGTGACAGGTTAGGCATATTCTAAATTTAGTTAATTTCTTCAGGAGGATTGTTTTTAATCCCCAAACTAACTTCTCTTAACATTAAATTTTAATATTCGTGACGAGTCAACCATAAAAGTTCTGCCTACAAAATTTTATTTTAAAGTCAATAGAAGTAGGAATTAATATCTGAGTAGGATTTAATGAATCTGTCATATTAGAAAGAAGTTGTCAAGGCTGTTGCATTTCACTCTTCCCCCACCAAAAAAAAATCAAATCAATTTGATATTGAACATGCAGGTTGAGAGTACACTTTACCTGACTCTGGAAAGGTGTTCAATTTGCATTCATATCCTGTATGTCGACTTACTTGATAATCAGGTCACACAACTATGATCTGTATTTTTTATTTTTTTGGTAAAGAAAAAAGTTTAATGTTATATTCATAACACATAACTATTACCAAAATAGTTTTAACAGTGTAGAAAATAATTTTCTCTGATCTTCTCTTCAGCTGTTGATCTTTTTTTGTCATAAGTATATATCTATATCATATTAAAATATAGCAATGAGATTTATTTGTTTATTGGGGGAGGAGAGATTTTTTTGCTATAGGGCACATGCGCTCACCAGAAAGGGAGAAATTACCCCCTGAGGAGATGGCCACGCTGTAGTCCCTTCTCCTCCATTCTCCTTTTGGGATCTTGGGCACGCATGCACACGCACCTGACGTGAGTTTCAAGTTACCGTGTCCGGGACTCAAATTGCGGTTGACTACATGGGAGTCCAGCGACATGGCCGTTACGCCAAATGCCGGTCCCAATAACAATGAGGTTTATAAAAAACATCGTTAATTGCAATTATCCAGTAGAGAGCGACATCAAGATTTAATGGGTCCACTGTTTACTTGTGACAATAAAACTGCTAAGTGGCCTCATAGCCTAGTGGTTAAAGGAGCTGTATCCCACATGGCTGACTGTGGTTCAGATTTTAGCCTTGCATCTTGGAAGACACTGGGCATGTGTGTGTGTGTGTGCCCCAAATCCTGGCAGGATTGGAATGGAGAAGAGTGACCACGTCCCATTGGGGAAATTGTATCTCTCCAGTGAGCACATGCACTTTCTGGCAACTAAACACACACATACACACAAACAAAGCATGGTAATGTGTATGGTAAAATATTAGGCCTCTACGCCTCTATTTCTTTGCTCTTTCCAGTGGGAAACATCATTAAGCTTTTTGTATAGCTATAAAACATTTATGCATATAAGTGTATGCTGGGGAACATACATTTGCTTCCTCACCATAGAATTTTTCTTCGCCTTGAATTGTTCCTTACTAATAAATATGATGAAGTGCTTTTCATTTCAGTATTGCCTGCTGGGACAAAAAAAAAATCCATTTTAAAGCTTGATGGTATTAAATATTATTAAATGGATATGCCAAAATCTTTTAAATTATGACCCTTCTGATGGGTGTCAGGGTTGCTAAGCCTTTTTTTAACCTCTGCCCCTCAAAGTTTCATGTGAATAATAGAGAAGGAAAGGCAGAGATGTTTAACACTGACAGTTTTGACAAGTTCATCACTTGCCTTTTAGCTGGACTACATAGGGGTTTAGC